ACTCAAAACAAAAAAATATAGTCAAGAAATAGGCAGAAGACATGAACAGACATTTCTCCAAAGAAGACATACAAATAACTAATAGATATATGAAAGAAATACTCAATATCACTCATCATCAGGGAAATACAAATCAAATCCAGATGAAACAGCCCCTCAAAGTGGTCAGAACAGCCAAAATGAACACCACAAGAAATAACAGGTGCTGGGGAGGACATGGAGAAAGGGGAAGTCTCTGGCACTGTTTGTGGGAATGAAAACTGAAGCAGCCAATCCGGAAAACAGTAAGGAGGTTCCTTTAAAAAGTTAAAAATAGAGCTCCCCTATGACCCAGCAATCGCACTACTGGGTATTTACCCAAAGGATACAAAAATACTCATTCAAAGGGATACAGGCACCCCACTGTTTATAGCAACATTGTCTATAATAGTCAAATTATTAAAAAAGTCCAAATGTCTATGGACTGATGAATGGATAAAGAATATAGATATATATACAAATGTATGTATACACACACACACACACACACACACACACACACACAGGAATATTACTCAGCCATCAAAAATGAAATCTTTTCATTTGCAATGACGTGGATGGAGCTGGAGTTTTTTCTACTAAGTGAAATACATCAGAGAGAGACAAATACCATATGATTTCACTCACACATAGAATTAAAAATAAAACCTAAACCAGTGAACATGGGACGGGGGAGAGAGAGAGGCAAACTATAAGTCAGACTTGTAACTATAGAGAACACACAGAGTGTTGATGGAGGGAGGTGGTCAGGGATAGACTAGATGGGGGATGAGTATTAAGGAGGGCATTGTTGTGATAAGCACTGGGTGTCATGTGTAAGTGGCAGATCGTTAAATTCTACTCTGGAAACCATTATTACACGGTATGTTAACTAACTGGGATTTAAATAAAAGCTTAAAACAAAAAGACACAAGGTGAACAAATGAAAATTAAATTTACATTTATATGTTGATTTGTAAGTCTGATGTTTAAAGGAACTAACCACAGGGAACTCCATCAATTTAATGAGCCAGGCTACAGGAAAACCCCGATGACAGCAATCTCCCTAAATCCACTGGCAGTGATACTGGCATTTCCCCAGGGAAGAGGTACCCAGGAAGGTACGGTCTTGTCCAGTCCCACCGCAGACCCCTGGCATGCCCACGATCTGGTTACGATGGTTGGGAGGACAGCAGTGACGGCCCCGTCCCACGCCCAGAGTCATACTGCTGCTGTCACCCTCAGAGAGCGCTGGCGGGGGCTTGGAAACCAGCGCAGGCAGGATACCGGGGCTTGAAGGAAAATCCTTTCATACCCCTGTGTTCAGAATGTCATTTTTAAAGTCTCCAGAGGCACAGCCATTCTCCTATCTGGTTACAAGCTTGGATGTTTTTACATCCATCCCTTTTACTCTCAGCCTTCATCAGGCCCAACAAATGTGGAGAAACACTCAATCCACGTCGTTTTTCAGATGTTTTAAAGCCTACGAATTAAAGCCCAATTAATGTTGAACCACTTAAGTGAGTTTACGCTGACACTTAAAAACAAAATAATTATAAAAGCTTTTAAATGTGAAATGGAGGTATTAAGCTTGTTATATTTTATTTATAATTATTATTATTTTTAAACCTTGTTTTTGAAAACCTCTGCACACAGCATGAAGCTTCGTGCTTAGATAGGGCCTGGCTGCGACTGGGAATGGTTTGGAAGCCCCACGAAGTAAACCTTTCCGTCAGACAGATCCCTTCATTCCCAGGTGTTTCCTAGGTCTTCCTGCTGGACCACCCACAGGCCGTGTCACCTGCACGGTACTGAACCCCGCCAGGTCTCAGCTCTCTCATCGGCACAAGGAACGAGAGGCCCCTTTCTGGCCTGCAACACGGGCGGGTTTAGGAGAGCTTCTGCTAAGCATCCCCTGCCCCGTGAGCCAGCTCTGCGTATCTCGGGACACGCCAAGGCAACACGACGGCTTCTTCGTGGCTTTCTCCTTCCCTGCCTGGCATTGACAAAGTTCTTCCCACGGGGCCTCCCCGGGCTCACATCTGCACAGATGTCAGGAGAAACGGCCAAGGCTTCCAGCTGCAGTTCGGACTCAGGACCTCCCACACTCCTGAGAACAGCCCGCGAGTATTTGCCCCAGTTCCCTGCGGGCTGTGCAAGAAGCAGAGCGCCTGGTGGGGAAGCGGCGCAGGCTGAGAAGACAGGCACGAGGGTGCTCGCCGCCAGCCTGAGCCAGAGCAGGGTGACGGGATCCACCCAAAGTCAGCAGCGATCCCCTGATGCTGCGGTGGTACCAGGAGGAGGAAAATGGCGCAAGGCGGAGGTGGTCGCGCGCAGCGCGGACCCGAGCCCATCCCCGGCGCAGTTACCCAGCAGTGGGCGTGCTTGCCCGATTCATTCCTTCCTAGAGAGTAACTGTTCATTCTTGTCCCTTTCCCTTCTGGACAGAACCTTGCAAGGACAAGTTACAGACATGAGGGACACACATTAGATTCTTTGATGTTGGATTCCACTCATGCCGGAAATCCAAAATAGGATCATATAGGAAAAAGGTTTTTAAAAGGAACTAAGACCTCTAGATCATGGAAACTGGCAAAGTCTGTCTTACCAAGTCCTTCCTCCTGCCTTTAGGTCACTGTGCGGCGGCCTTCCTCAGGGCTACCACTCACCTCCTGAAACAGCGTCATACCTCAGCAGATGCCCCATGCCTTCTGCTGTGAACCCCAGGGCTCCTCTGACTCCAAGATGCCTGCAGGGAGGCTGCGCAGAACCAGGCCGGGGTCACACACAGTCAGGAGTCAAAGATCCAAGGGCAAGCCTCAAACCAAGAGGACCACAGACAAGGGATAAAAGGTGCCTCCAGGCCCATCTGGCAGAAAATTCCGAGAGCTCGTTCCATGTTGCTCAGGAAGTTCTGAGGCAGTGCTCCGGCTGCTGTCTGCTGTGACCTTGATAATTCCTCCTTACACTGACTTTCCCGCTCCTCTCACTCATCTGGTCCTTCATTCACGCACCGTGGGATTATTTCCCAAACAAGGCAAGAGTCAAACCCTTGTCCTAATTGTACCTTTAGAGGGAACCAAGTTATGGCAATTGTATCCCATTATTTAGTCACCAAATACTTGTTGAGGACCTACTGTGTGTCAACTATTTGTTGAGACCTACCCGTGCCATCAAAGAGTAAAAAGGTGTGTCGCCTCGCCCTCCAGAGCTCTAAGTCTAGTGGGTAATTAAATGTCACCTGCTGAAACAAGATTCACATCCCTAGACTGTGGAAAAGGATTTTATGATCAAATTATTTCAGTGTCAGTTTTAGCTGCCTTCTCAAGCTAATTGGTGTCACCTACTTCTTCCATTTTCCGCATGATGATACAGGATTACCTGTGCAAGGTTTGCAAAGTCTCTGTTACATCTTTAAAAGAGGTTGGAGAGGCTAGGAAAGGTAATAGAGTATAAGAACTTTTCCTTTTCTCTTTGCTGGTGTTTTTATGAGGACTTCTCCCCATGGGGGGAAGGATGAGGGACACTTTCCTTCACTTCACACAAAGGAGAGGTGGTGGTGTTCTGGCTCCAAGCTCTGAGGACAGAACCACCTCTCATGAGACATTCCCTTGAGCTTGAGGACAATGTAGACTGGTGTCTGACCCTTGTCTGACTCATGCCCAACTCATCTGTCCTGCCAGTGGAGCAAAGAGATGGGAATTAGGGCAAAAAAAGGCACACAGGGTTCTCAGACCTCATGGGGGCCCATGAGACAGAGTGGTGGCTCAAAGTCCTGCCCCGAGGACCTCCAGGGGACACCCGGAAACCTCAGCATAGAGGTGCCACCTTGTCCCTTGGACTGAGAGGTCTGTAGCCCCCCGGCCTGCGTCAAGGAATTACAGACAGAGACTCCTAGTAAGAGGGGATGATGAGAAGGTAGAAGGCTGTCCAAAGACCTTCAGTCTGGTCCCCGCCTACCTGTGCACCTTGCCCGCCTCCCAGTCCCCTCCTCCTCCTCATGAAGCTCCACCCCCCTCTTTTCTTTGCTGCCCTTGGAACACAACCAGACCCGTCTGCCTCTGGGGCCCCGCAGGCGCTTTTCCCTCCCCTTGGAAGGGACTTTCTGGCAGCCTGCGGCAAGCTGGGCTCTGCTTCATCATTACAGTCTGCGGCACTATGACCTCCTCACAGAGGCTGGCTTCTGCCAAGCACCCTGATTAAAGTTCTTCCCCAGTCTTGGTCATCTTGTCCCCCCTCCCCCCACTTTTATGAATCCGGAGCTTCTGCTCCGTGAACTTTCAGCCAAGGGAACAGGCCTAGGGAGCCAGCATTCGGATCTAGAGACCTATAAGCACGTTGGCAGAGGGGCGCTAAGGCCCCATTCCTGGAGTTGCACACCTCCCCTGGCCATACCATAACTACCAGCCGCAGGCCGACACGCTGCCCTGGAAACGTGGCTTAGTAACATGTTAAAATGATCATGTTTGGGACAAACTGAGTAAAATAAATATAGCGTTACAACGAATTTCACCTTTTTGCCTTTTCGGCGTGGTTACCCGAAAGTTTCAAGTTATGTGCGTGGCCCCATCGCGTTCTGTGGGGCGGCGCCACTCTAGACCCTCTTTAGGCTGTTTCCCTCCCACCGGCGGACTGGAAGCCCCGCGGGCGCACCTGCGGCGCTGGTCAAGGATGCGCCTCCCAGGCGGGCGCGGGTCGGGGCGCGGTCGGGACCTGCCCCGCGAGAGGGTGGTCTGGCGTGAACGAGCCGACGCGGCGTGGAGGGGGGTCAGCAGGTTGGGAGGCGCTGATCCGGGGGCTCCACCAGCCGGAGTCGACGCAGCCGCCTCTGCAGCTGGGGCTCGAGGACGCACCCCCGAGGGGACACCGGAGAGTGCGCGAAGTGCGGGGCGGAGGGAGGAGGCCGGGGGCGGGGGGGAGGGAAGGAGAAGAGAAGGAGGGGCCACCCGGCCCCGCCCCACTCCCGGCCCCGCCCCGCCCCTCCGCGGGGCCCATCCCGACCCGCGCGGCCTCGGTTTCCAGGCGACGCCGAACGCTGGCGCCCGGCTGCCTGCAGCGGGCGGGATGGGCCCGACCTCGGCGGGCGCGGGGCCGCTGGACCGGGGTGGCGTGGAGGACGACGAAGAGGAGATCACCGCCGCCACGCTGCGGGGCAAGCCCCGGCTGCCGCCCCTCTCGGCGCTGTCCGCCTTCAGCTACGTCCCCCCGCGGCGCCTGGACCCCAAGGAGCACAGCTACTTCTACCGCCAGAGCCGGGTGAGCCGCACGGGGCAGGGGCTGCGCGGCGGGCGCGGCGGGGCGGGCGGGAGGGGCAGCCGAGCCGGGCGGAGGCTGGGGGACCGCGGGATAGGGGCGGGGCTTCACCGCCAGGGAGGGGGCCGGGGCCTCGGGAAGGAAGAGCGCAGGGAGGCTGGAGGAGCGGAGGAATAGGGGCGGTGCCTCGCAGCCAGGGTGGGCGGGGCGGAGAGGTAGGAGGGCTCTGCAGAGCGGGGGAGGGGTCTGGAGGAGAGGAGGGATGGGGGCGGGGCGGAGGGGTAGGAGGGCTCTGCAGAGCGGGGGAGGGGCCTGGAGGAGAGGAGGGATGGGGGCGGGGCGGAGGGGTAGGAGGGGACTGCAGAGCGGGGGAGGGGCCTGGAGGAGAGGAGG